TAAAATAGTCACGTGCGCGCCTGAAGTGTTAGCTGCCAACGTCAATCAACGTCGCATGTGCACGAGCGCACGTTTTATGGATCATATTTTCGATAAAAGATTATATCGATATTTTTTTATATTTGAAGTAAAATAGCGATTAAAATATATCGATATATTTGTGAAATATATTGATATTTACAAAACATCGATATATCGTTGCCATCCCTAGTCTTGGAAAGTGGTCCAATGCGATGCGACTAAGGCTATATACGCGAAGTAATAGTGCAGTGTGTGAAATAATAGTGCTGTGAATTAGTATTGAAGTTATAATTTTTGTAATTTAAATTAAAATTTAAAATATTTGATGCCTAAGAGTAGACTACCTACTCGTATTTATTTTCTTTCAAATATTTATCGAAGTAAATATTTGTGTACAAATGGAATTAATACTTAGCGTTTTTTTAATTATTGCAAGAAAATACATTATTCAAATATTTATTTAAAAAATCTAAACCTGGTACTGGTAGTGAAGGTTCTACTGAAAATCACTGTTCAAGTGTTTTCGACAGTGATACTGCAACAAGTAGTTCTCGTACTTTTGCTGCCGTTCCTGCGACTGTAGATGATGTTTCTCAGAATGTTTTAGATGTAGGCTATTATACGGGATCAAACACTAAAATTGATGATTGTTGAAATCTCATTGGATACCAGAAAAGACATTCAAGTTTCCAGTAAGTGACGATAAAAGAAAGCTAAAATTTCAAATGCAATGGTTTGAACGGTTCTCGTGGTTGGTTTACACGAGTACAGGACAACAAGGTGCTTTATGCAAATATTGTGTATTATTTGCCAGAGATTGCGCAGGTAAAGGCTCTCATCAGCAGTTGAAATTCTTAGTTACTCAGCAGCTTACTAAATGGAAAGATGCTGTACATGATTTTAAACATCACAGTGAAAGCCAGTACCACAAATCTTCTGTATTATTGGCTGATAATTTTATGAAGGTGTATAATAAATGTCAACCAAATAAAATAAGTCAGATTGATAGCGGATACCTAGCGCAAATAGCTGAAAATCGGAAACGGCTCATTCGGATTATTGAAACAATTAAATTATGTGGACGCCAAGAATTGGCACTGAGAGGTACGTGCGACTCAGCACAGGAACTCCGTGTCATATAAAATTAATTCTACCGGTCACCGGTCGCTTCAGTTCTATCGATTGGCACTCTGTGTCTCCAAATAATCGCCAGGAGTCGACTGTAACTATCGCCACGAAGCGAGACGTCAAGACATATAGTTTTCTACTAAAGTACAGTTTTGTTTTGATTTTAAAACATTATGGCATTGGATCTAATTTCAAATGAAAAAAAGTAATAAACGTAAAAATAAGAATTACGTTAAAGCCATTAGCTTTGTTGTTAAATCAAGTGAATTTTTTATTGTGGTGTGTGGTGTAAACATTATAATAGGTTTATTCTGCCATATTTTTTTACCAGCAAAATCTGCTAGGTCCAAGGTGAATCTTCCTGTTGAAGAGGCACATACATCCACAGCATAAGTATAAAGAAGTTAATAATTTGAAATCCTTAATCCAGAATATTCCTTAATAAAACAAATAATTTTACAGTATGATACTTGACTGGCCGACAGAGGTCTCCAAACTTACTTAGTAATGTCATTGTAAAACTATGTTTAATAAATAATCAGATTTTTATTTTTAATCTTTTATTGTAAATAAGTTTAAAAAAGATCACAAATAAATTAAATGTAAGTAGATGTGCCCTTTTCCAAAAAAAACCAATTCACCTATTTTTATCTTCATTTGGTCGCAGGATTTCAACATGGGTACAATCTACTGCTCCAATTATCCCGGGAAAATTTCTTGCTTCTATAAAACATAACTAAATTTGTTGTTTTTCCTGTAGAGTTCTAGGAAACCGAATCCATTCCCCTGAGAAGGTGTTTATAATGGCCGTATTTTCTCTTTAGCTCTCGACGTAATTCCATTTAATGTATACTGTGATATATTATCTTTATTTAATCGAAATAACTCTATAAATCTTAAATTTTCTATAGAGAATGGATAGCTTGTCTCTCTCATTACTCGCCTATCTATATTTTCCAAACAAAGTTGTTATAGTCGTTCCTCCTCTTCAACAGCTAATATATTGGCCACAAACAAAGGGACCATTATTACAAATCAAAGCAAAAACTAGATAATACAAAATTAAAATCAAAACCAAAGCGGCACCTTATCTGTCAGAAATTGACATAATTGACAAAAAGTAACAAATCTCTATATGTCAAGCAAACATTTTTAGATCGGTTAGTAAACCTCCGAGAATGTCCGATGTTTTGACATCCATGAATCGACTGTCACACAGAGTACCGGCAAAGCGTTTATAGAATTCTACAGTAGAAACCGATTGTAGAAAACTATACGAAAGCGATTGGACACGGAGTGTCGCTCCAGGTCCAATAAAAATTAATGATTCTGAGCCAGAAACAAATGATGGAAACTTTTGTGCTATCTTACAGATGAGAAGCAGATGTGGAAGCTCAAATCTAATAAAGCACACAGAAAATATGACGTTGAACGCTACCTACCTAAGCCCGACCATACAAAATTATGCGAAATTTTTTTCAATCCTTGTTGACGAAACTACTGATGTTTCACGACAAGAACAGATGTCCATTTGTCTAATATATGCCAAGCCAAAATATAATGAGTTTATCTTGCGTGAAGATTTTTTAACTTTTGTAAAAGTTGAGAATACAAAAGGAAGATATTTAGCAAATGCAATTTTATCTGAATTAAAATCTTTGGGAGTAGATTACGAATATTTATTCGGACAAGGATATGATGGAGCTTCTTCGATGAAAGGAAGTTTTAAAGGTGTGCAGGCAGTAATTTGTGTCACACCCAGAAGCCTTATACGTTCATTGTAGTTCACATTTATTGAATTTAGCTCTGGGTCATTCTTGCCGGGTTCAGAATATTCGACATACTATTGGAATAATAAAATCGGTTGGAAATTTTATCAAGTCCCCGGAAAAACGAACCAAGTGTTCAGATAATATCGAAAAAAACTTCCCTGAAACACAATGGAAAGACCTTACGGCAATGTGCGAGATCTGCTGGGTTGAAAATCATGACGGGTTGTTAAGATTTAAAGAAATTTTTAAAGCTATTGTTGATACACTAGACGACTTAAGCACTGACATGGATTCTGAAACATCGTCAAAGGCTAATTCTTATCTGAAATCAGTCATTTCAAGTGATTTTGGTATAAGCTTATGTTGCTTAGGAATGTTGTTCATATACACACTGACACTATGCAAAATACTTCAATCGCCCCTATGCGATTTGGCAACATATCGATTTAATTATAAAGACTATTGAAGATGTTCGCCAAAAATATTGATTCAAAATTTGCTGAACTTTTCGAAAATGCACATAATTTGCTCAGAACTGTAAATGAGGAAATGAAAATTCTACGAATAACGTCACGCCAAGAGCATGGGGCAAACCAGAACACAAAAGATCCTGAAATTTATTTTAGAATTACTATAATGATTCCAGTTTTGGATGATTTCATTGATCAGCTTTAGTCGAGATTCCAAAAACATATAGCCACATTATCATCTCTCAACATTTTAATTCCGTCTGTATGTTGCAAAGAACAAATTAATCAAATCTATCAAGAAAACAACTTTGAACTCTATGAAAAAATTTTGGAATGGGACTTTGTAAAAGATGAATTAGACATGTGGCGGATAAAATGGGTGGAAGAATCTGAACTAGATCGACTAACATGTGCTATTGAAGCTTTCGAAGAATGCAACCAGGCTTTATTTTCATACATCCACAAACTTTTAAAGAACTTGGTGACACTGTCTGTTTCTACATGTACTCCTGAGAGGACTTTCTTTTCTATGAAACGCTTCAAAACTTATTGGAGAAACTCCACAGGAAAGACTAAACAGTTTGGCGTTAATGTCAATCCACCGCAGAATTGACATCGACACCGAGGAGGTAATTGATTTGTTCGCTGCAAAGAAAGCTAGAATTGAATTTTGTAATAAGGTGTTAATATTTCTGTAATGGTTTTTTTAATAAATATATATGATAAGTAACACCATTTTATTTTTTTTAATAATAACAGTAATGCTGGAAATAGTAGACATCAGAAACTTGAAAGGTTTTAAATAAATAATAAATTATCATTTTACGATGTTCTTTAATATTCCTTTGTTCTTAAATGTTCATTCAGCAAGGATTAGAGTTCAAGATTTCTGCCTTTGATTATTGTATGTGGCTGGAATGCAATTTTGTGACTTACTGATGCGAAATCAGTTTTAATCATTCATTCTATGTTTTCTTTCGAACTAAAATGAAAATATAAGTAACGATCCTTTTTTTATACATTTAACTTCACGCTATTATTATATGGTATTTTTTATTTTGACAGAATATGCTAATTCTTCAATGACAACTTATTAGACTCAGGCAACTTCTCATACATTTTCCAGTAAATACTGTTGCCTGTCTATATTTTATTATTGATTTTTATTGATTATACATAATTTTCTTTAATTTAAGCGATAAGAATATATAATAATAATAAATTAATGTTTTACTTGTTTTACAAATCCATATACTTTTATTAAAACTAACATATATTCTTTTTAATTACGAATTCTATTAAAAATTGTATTTGTCAGTACATGCAGACATAGTCCATTAGTACCAAAACGAATTAGCGCTGCTGTCGCGCACGGAGCGAATAGTAACTGATTATAATAATAGTTATTTGGTAGAATATAAAAAACAAAAATTATTTATACCTATCAAGTGTTTTTAATGATTGTGAGTTTATTAATATTATAATAATAATTATCGTTTATTCAACATAATATAGCATAATAATAATAATTTATAAGTATTTTTTATTGTAATGACCTTACCTAAATGTTTAAGTTTAAAATTAAAAAAATAATAAAATGTATTCTTACCTCCATTATCATTATCATTTTTCTTAATAAAAAAGGAGAAAAATGAAAAATATGACTCCATTTTAGCTGGTTATAATCTACTACCACTATCTCACTAAGTACCAGGTCTTCGCAAATTCTTATTTCGTAAACGTTCATAAAATTAGCGAAATATCGTTGAACGTTAAAATTGGAAGTATTAGGACTTATATTCACTAGTGAAATTCTGTATAAACCTTCAGCTGCCGTCGGTAATGGCAAATAACAACTGAAATAAAAATAGATAAAACAGGTTAGTCAAAAATTACTTTTTTACACTTTTGCAGCCACCTTTGAAAAAAGACTTCACCAATACCCATATCTCACATAAATAACTTCAATATTAACCCTACAACACTGTACTTGATAGAAATTATATTTATATCAGTTCACGTGTACTACGGGTATTGTTGAGGGCTCGTTATTCATATTATTATTGACATTAAATCCTCAGATCTTGGGAAACTGAACTCAATAGAAAACAAAGAAATAATGTAAAAAACTCGATATTAACTGAGCTTTTATTCACTTCTTTCCTTAATCATAGTTTGGAAAAAAAACTGTAGAATGTTTTGACTTTAGGTACATTTAGTGCTAAAACAAACTACAAACTACTAATTCTTTTATTTTTCTTTTTTTCACATGTAATGATTTCATAGAGAATTTTTTCTTGCCGAGCTGCAATTTCTATTTCCACCCTTTTCCACGCCACCTATTTTTCTTTTAACAGCACCTGCTTTTTCGATCTTTTGTTTGATGAACTTTCGGTGGGAGGATCTTTCTTATGTAGCGCATCTTGTAAAAAATGCATTTTTAAGCAGATTTTGTTTTATTAACTAATTCGATAAATCTATTAATTTTTGATATACAGAGTGGGTCACTCAAAACAGTTTCATCCGGTTTTTCAGCATTATTCATTGAATTTTAAGAAAATGCAAAAACAGGTTGATTTTTATTCTAAATTAAAAATATTTTTACAATACAGACATCTATCATGTGTCAACCCCCTCCCTTGTACTTCAGCAACACCTTAATTTTAAATAGGTAATATACCATGTGTAGCGCGTTTTTAAAAAAGTAATTTAATGGGGAATTCAGAAATATTTCTGTACATTGCGTTACTTTAATTTTATCGCCCTCTAGCGGAAAAAAACTATTACCTATAATAGAGTGTGACACTACAATGTGTAGTACATCATAAAAAAGGTAATTTTATGGGGAATTTATAAATACGTTTGTTCATTGCGATACTTTTAATTGTACCGCCCTCTATCGGGATAAAAAAAACTACGTAATATAAAGTGTGACACCTTATTTGAAAGCAAATTCAGTTAATAATTTAATGCACTACATAACGTTAATATAAAGATCCTCCATATTGCACTTGCAATAGTTTGAAAATTAGTCATGCAATATTTTAAACACTATTATTACTAACTTTATTTTGTTGCAAGTGCAATATAAAAATATTTATATTAATGATAGGTGGTGCATTGAATTAGTAAATAAATTAGCTTTCAAATGAAGTGTCACACTTTATAATACGTTACAGGTTTTTTTATCCCGATAGAGGGCGCTAAAATTAAAAGTATCGCAATATACAGTCATATTTATGACTTCTTTACAAAATTACCTTTTCAATGATGTACCGTACATGGTACATTCCTTATTTAAAATTAAGGGGTTGGAGAAGTGAAAGGAAGGGGGTTGATACATGACAGATGTCTGTATTGTAAGAATGTGTTTAATTTGCAATAAAAATCGACCTGTTTAAACATTTTCTTAAAATCCAATGATTAATGCCGAAAAACAGGATGAAACTCTTTTGAGTGACCCACTCTGTATATCAAAAATGGCTGGACTAATCGAATTAGTTTATAAATCAAAATCTGCTTAAAAATGCATATTTTACAAGATGCGCTATATAAGGAAGCTCCTCCCATCGAAAATAAAATATTGATCGCAGCGCCATCTACATATTGACCTATTTAAAATTAATTTATATCTAAAACTGACTCTCTCTTAGCGCTCTATAATCTGGTTTTTACAGAATTAAAATATCTCTATTAGTTTCCAAAATATCCGGCCTGGGAGTTTTTATTGGTACACCCTGTATACATCCCACATGTTGTACACCATACTTCCTCAGCCGCTTATCCCTCGGTCCAGTTTTATACTCTTCATTTAGTCGAAGGAATGTTTTATAATGTAAAAGAGTAATACACCAATCTCCCACAGGTTCTAATTTAAGTAGGCACAGTATACATAAGTATAAAGTATTTAGTAACTTTTAGCCAAATAATAAATCACAGAGATTATAAAATTGTCCGTAATGTAGTTTCTTTATCAATCTATTTTAAGTTAAATTATCGGGTTTGCAACATTAATTTTGAGCCTTGTTTGTTTCAAAACCCTTTATGTTATAATATTTTAAAATTTTATCATTTTTTATATTATATATTTTGGAAATATTATTTAAAAACGAAATATTAGAATATGTACCTTTTATATCTATATTATTTCAAACCAATCATTTTTCTTTCATAAATTACACCTATTTTATAGTCCAAATAACTTTTTATTAATAAATATTTCGTACCTAGGTTTATGTTTCGATTGATAAACTACTGTTAACATCAACAATCCCAGTACGTAAATACTCTCTTATTATTTTATTCATCAAATTGAGAGATATACAATTTGACCCTAGTGCCATTTCAGTCATTTCCTAGAATGCGAGAAGTATGATATATCGCTTCTCCGGAAGAACAATGACACAAGCGCAAGTTTTGACTTTTTAAGTAAAATATGGTATAATTACAAAGAATATTGCATTTTTCTGGCAGTAAAAATTGCTTTCCCGAAAACCTCATCGATTATTTTGACGTTCCTCAACTTCTCAGTTTTATATAAAAAAATTTTAAATCGCTATTTCTGTGAAATCATTAGTTTTTACTTACGTTATTGTTCTTCCAGAGAAGTGATATTTCGTACATTCAGAAGAATAACGATGTAAATGCAAATTTTTAATTTTTGAGCTAAACATGTCAAAATATTAAAAATAGTTCAATCTTTCCATAAAACAACGCCGCTAACATAACTCACCTAAGTTTATACATGCGTCGTTATGCAGAATATCGATATATAATGAATGTCGGTCCTCAAAACGACGCAATAGTTAATGCATTGTATTTCTAAAGAGAGGGTTGTTCTTAGTAAGAACATTGACGTAAATGCAACTAATGGTTTTTAAAACAAATTTCGTTTTTAATTTCAGTGCTATATTGATGCAATTGTCAATTGGGTTTTTGTTATCTAATGACTTTAGTTAAAATTTAGTGCAACAATGACGTAAGTGTTCATTGAGTGATTAAGAATTAATGCAACAACTACATTAATGTACATTACGTTAACAGTAAATTTAAAATTAGTAACCTTATTTTATTTTCTTACATAGCACCATTTTCTTTTAATAATAAAATCAGATTTCTAAAAACTACATAAATGTTCGAAGAACAACGGCGCAAATAAGTTTTTTTAATTTTTTGTAAGTTCTAATTTTCACATTTTTGCTAAAATCTTACTTCTACTTCTACAAAACCAACTCTATGAAATATGTTATTTTTCATTTGCGTTCCTGAATAATTAGTCATTTTGCACTTATGCCGTTGTTCTTTCGGAGGTGCTATATATGTAACGGCCGCCTTGTTGCCATAATACCAATGTTGAATAATATTCGACTAACTTTAATATCACAAAATAAAATTAATTTCTAATTTCATCGAATTTTTATAGTTACATATGGGTTACATAAGTTTGTTCAATTAGGATATTACCTTTTTTACATTTTGAGAGCTTTTCTAATAAATCAGAAGCAATATTTATCATGAAATAATCATGGAATACAATTATATATTGGTCACATTGCAAACAGTTTGCACACTACCGTTTAAATGTCCTGTCAGCATACCATAATAAAGAGATATTGCAAGTTCACTTAATTTTGTCACTCTTACTTTGACATCTGAGCATGCGTAGATCGTTTAACTGAATTTATTAATTGTGGATGTTTCACGGCAGCAAATGGTAGTGACTTTATAGCTTTGGGGTGCGTTTTTCAACATTCGTATCAGTTCGAAGTTTTATATTATTATATATTTAATATTATCATCATCATCATCATCATCATCATCATCAACAACATCTCCTAAAATGGCCATTTATAATGCCTCTTCAATTTGAAGTACTATTATAGACAACAAAAAAGATAAACTATAATTTATAGTTTTTAAAATGAGGTAAGGCAATTTGACCCTATGATTCTAATGTTAAAACTATCTGGCGTTATAGAAATTTGAAATATCTCTCTACTAATACCTTTCATATCAGGTTGGTGTTAAATCTACCTTTAATCCTATGGTTATTTATTTTCATTAGTTTATTTTGACTTACCCCATGTCCCATGCTTCCATTATTTCCGGTAATTTTGGATTAGAACATTCGTATATTTCAGGAATCATTTTTCTTATAGAATAGAACGTTTCCAAGTTTATTTTTGTTTTATCGATGTTGTATTTACAGTTGGTAAGGAAAAATTCAATCATATGATCAGCTGAAAAGAAATGTTGTAAATAAATGTAAATTAAAATGTTTGCTGTATAACCCTATTTTTTTAATAATATTGTGGTCTATTATTATGAAAAGTTATAAAAGTCATTTTAAAAAACCGACTCCAAAATCGTGCAGATGCCATTAAAAATTAAGGTAGCTAATTTTCGCATGGATCCCTTGACCAGGTCTTGACTAAATTTATATAAGAACACCCCTAAGGTACATACACCCTTTCTAACAAAAAACGAATTATAGAAATCGGACAAAGTAGTAAAGAATTATCGGTGAACATACATTCATAAAAATGAGTTTTATTAGATCCTGATCAAGTTTATATGGAACCACCTCTGAAGTGCCCCATTTCTAACAAAAAAAGAAAGAATCATAGAAATTGGACTACGTGTTCAAGAATTATTATCGGTGAACATACATATAAAAAAAAATATTCCAACGAATTGAGACCTCCTTTTTTAAAATCGGTTAAAAATATATTTAAAATGTTTGATTGAGAGTAAATAAATATAGATGTTATAAAATGTCACGTTCTAGATAATTAAAATACTGTTATAATTAAGATGATTTTATATTTTTCGTTACATCATTATTAAATGTGTATGGTTCACAATCATCTTATAGATATAAAGAATTTTATTTTCAAAGCCAGTTTGCATTGTAATTTATCTGTTACTATACTCTGTTTTTAAACTAGGAGGAGTGAATTAAAAAGACGCATTTACACAGGGAAAAGTAACTAGATTCGTTACTAAGAGCTTGTTCTGAAATAAAGTCGTGTTCAAAATGTATGTAATAGTTGTTATTGCCGTCCCTAGTCGGCGAACAGCCAATCAGGGATTAAGGAACAAATAAATGTCAAAGGAGTCGATTTTTTATTGGTTTCAGACAACGGTCGTAAATTTATTATTATTGTGATCTCAAAGTAAGTAGTAAAGAGAGGAGAGTAAACAATGTTTGTGTCGCCATGATAATATGGTCGAGAATTCTAATTAGAGAGAAACAGATTAATATCTCTATCTCTTTGTTTGTATTTGTCAGTTTTACAAAGCTTTTCTTAGACAATTATTCCAGTGTTTAATTTAAATTTGTTCGTGTTGTAGTGTTAATAGTAATTGTTATTAATATTATATTCATAACAAAAAAGTCATATTTTGTTTTCACTTCATTAAAAATGCACCTACCTACCTTTTAAAACATTTTATTTTATATTCTATTTGGTCAACATTTTCGCATTTAAAATGACCTAGCGAAATTGTTTTACGGTACGCTACTGCTAAGAATTCTAAAACGAGTGAGAAAGCCTTCTTTAGAAAGAGAGATACTGATTATATGATAGCGAGATTAATATTGTATAACTTTATGCAGTGGTGGCCTATCTGCCATTATATTATCTAAGATTGTGATCTGAAAAGTGCGTCTAAAACGAATTGTCACTGTCAAATGAAATTTAATATATTTTTTTTAATTGTCAAAATAATTTTTATAATATTTATACATTTTTAGATAGTTTAGATATTCCAAAAAATTTTACAAAACCTGTTACACTTTTTGATGTATTGTTTAAACTTCTGTCTTTCGGTAATGTTAAAAAAATATCAAAATTTATACAAATGTCTAAAATTAAGCTGTAAAATATTGTAATTATTTACCTGTTGTTACCAAATGGCTGTATCATCTTAGCTATGTAGGCCAATAAATTATAAAAAAAAAAAAATGGTCGTTGATTTGTTGACGTTTTTAGAAATATGTTTATCTTGCTTTTGAAATCGACTTTTTGAGAATTGTAATTGTTTTAAATGGATATTGAATATTTATGAAAATTGTTAAAAGAATATCAAGATGCCGGTAGTTAGTATAAAACAGAAATATTATCGTTTTACATTTTTAATGATTTATTTGTTATAGGTATAAACAATTAGTGAATGGCAATTGGATCACACAATGACTGGAATTTATCCTATGAGTAATATGGATATTGTAGCTAATTTGCTGTTAACCCATAGTTAATACGCTACATAACACTACATATCAACATTATATCATTACTAAATTTTAACTTAATGATATTGTAGGTCTTTTTAACTCAAGTTCTAATTTTTACCCAGATTTTTTAATTTAAAGTGAACTATTCATACATACCTATACCTATGTATTAATGTTAGTTGATATTTTTAAAATATTTATTGTGGAAGTAATGTTAGCTCATTATGCTAAATTAAGATTATCTCTATTGTAGTAGATGAATTAACAATTTTGTAAATGGTTTTATTATCTAATAAATAAAATTTACTTGAATATTTAGTTAGTTTTTAATCAGTTTGGTCAATTTATCAAGTTTTAGTTTTAAAAAATCAGTAATAACTTGTTAGTTTTTTCTGGAATACTTCGGAATTCATCTCTTCATGGTAATCTCCCGTCTTTTGGCTTCAAAACCAATAATGTATTTTCTACAAAATCCTCTTCAGAATCAGCAAAAATAAGTCGTCTTCCCTTTCTTGTAGGGCTTTTCAGGAACTACTACCCTTAATAGTACTCGGTAGAGAATAGTCCATAATCGTAGAAATTTAATACAATTGCTTACTGAAGTTTTGAAAAGAACTATTATTTACGAAATAAAGTAAAAATTAATAATGATTAGATAGTATGTGGCTGATGCACATACTTTGATTACTATACGAGGCAAGAGAGAGGTCCGACATGCCCAACATAGGGCGCGGCCATTTTGAACCCTGTGACACAGTTTACAGCTAAAGAATCAGATCGCTCACTCTGCGTCGGCACTTTTGAGCTCAATGTTTCAGTTTATACACTGTGCAACTCGGATAATACAATATATGACAACCGCCTATAATAAAGTCTTCTGCGTATCCTGAATTTGTATCCCTGGAGTGGATGTTATTTTGGAACTTTTAACTGGTCCGAGTGAGCTAACTGATTATTTAGCAATAAACTGTGACTTCAAAAATAATATTCACTGACACTGACAGCAGCAAGCAAAATATCAGGTGCGTTTAATCATTCGCTTCTGCTTCCGGAATTGTCGGTTTAGTCGTTTTAACCTGTCAGATTAAAACAAGAAAACCGACAATTCCGAAGCAGAAGCGGATGATTAAAACGCACCTATTAAAAATATTGCACCAAGATGTAGGCAACACGTAATAAGGGTTCAAAATGGCAGAGTTTTCTATCTCCTTTTAAAAGGCACTCAGAAAGCTGCGCAGTGCGACCATTCTCCGTATAGTAAAAGAAAATCAAAGTATGTGGGCTGATGTTAATGCTAAAAAGTTATGTGTAAAACTGACTGTAATCTGACCAATCAGAAATCTACAGAATTGCCAACTTAAACTCAAATCGCTCCTCCTAGTTTAAAAACAGAGTGTAGTAAGGAAAATATAGGAATAATTTTTTTTTGACCTCGAGTTGTCGATTCTGCATTCACTATCTTCTACTGGTCCTAGTTTAATTCGGGTGTCCTTTGAGTTCGCACTGACTGGTAAGGATTTGTGTTTTAAGGCGTAGCAGCCTGTTCTTGCTCAGTCCGATCCAAGAGGCATTTCCTTTAGCCATTCCCTTATAGCATATTTTTTGAATAAAAGGCCCATAAATCGTAAGAATTTTCATTTCGGGAGGGGCCATGACCCCTCTATATATATTTTTGTACTAACTAATTCGAAGGTTTTATGATTGCACTGCAATATTATAACTATAGTAATCTTGAAAAAATGTATCTGTCAAAAGAATACATGTAATTAAATGTGATAATGCACCGTAAAAAAATTGAGTTAATAAATTTTGTTTCAAATCAGTTATCTGGTAGCAGCAGTAGTGACGAAAATGATATGGTAAATTTTTATTGTGAAAGAGAAAAGGAAAGAAAAATTTGGTAAATAAGAATATATTTATTGGAAATCAACAAGCTGATAAAACAGAAAGAAAAAAATGGGGAACTAAAAACCGACTTGTTGTGCTAACAATTGAATATTTAAATTTTGTTTAAATTAAGGATACATTTTTATTAATATGTATCAAAACATTATTCGGTATATTTTTTTATTTGAGTCAGAACTAGTCAGAACAGAAATAAATAAAATATTCTAAATAGGAAAAGGAACATAACATTTCATATAAATATCTTTCAAAAGAAAACAAGAATATTTTTATAGTAATTTTTATGTGCAATCTTTTAGAAAATCCAGTTGCTCCCTTCCCTTTATGAATTTTTAGAAGAATTATTTCAGTGAATAATTTATTTTTTGGCTTTTCTAGCTTGACCTGCTTTGCTTCTACAACTTTATGACATTTTCTTAAAACCTCCGGTTAAAAGCTATTGTCTATATATGGATGATGCAATTTTCCTAACTTAAGTTCTATATTTTTTCGAATTTCACCATTTTTATGCTTTTTTCTTTCCAGTATCGTTTTGTATCTGTTTTCATACTATACCCAAGTTAGGGATGAGTTAAATTTATTATTAACTTTTTGTAGATCTCCCACATATATCTTTTGGTTTTACATTTCTTAAAATCTCAACGATTTCAATAGGTTGTTCCATTTTGTTTATGAAAACTGGGAAAAAGATATTTATTTATTTTTTTTAAACAGCTGTCAATGTCAAAGTGCGCTGAAAGCACTAACATGATCCCAGTTGTGTGCAAGTTCGAATAGTCTATACGTAAAACTTTTAGCGAGCAATGTTAAATACGTTTATGCACTGCATGGTAATAGCGCGATCTGTTCCCGTGCTAGTGGTACGTCATTTGAAGACACTATAAGTGAGAGTAACTGTATTCTTCTCGCCTATTTCTCATATTTTTCTATATATTTGACCGGATTACGTAGAAATTCAACGCCTTTATAGCTGCTTGGGTATCGGACTTGGTGATACTCTTTTGTCTGCTGTAGTTTCTCTTGATGTTGAACTGTATACACTTGTCAATAGCTTAGGCATTTACCCTAACTTTCAGGGTAGGTACCTAATTCTGGGCCCATATAGTTTTTATTCCAGATATTTCGATAACTTCCGAAAAATATATTGAACTATATAAGTGAGCATTAACTGACCTATCCTCTAATGCGACCGTTAAAACATGGCACGATTTTTCGAAGAAACAATCAGTAATTTTTTTGTTGGTTCATATTTATTTTTAAACATCCGTTTAATCGATTACTGTTTAGTTTTAGACTATTATAAATATGTCCAAAGTGCATCACCTACGATGTTATATGCAGCATTTAACCGACCAGCTTCAAATTGGTTTAGCATTTCCGTGCCTGTTTTTTTTTCTTTTCTCAAATTATGAGGAGTCCAATGACTGTAAATCTTCCTGACATGTAAGTGAACTAACATGAATGTTTCACAAATGGTTGATGGGTGGATACATAACACGTTTTTAAAACAAGCGTTAAACATAGGTGTAGAAGATGTGGTTAAAAGAGGATTGGTTGCGAGGGAAGGCCCACAGAGAAAGATGGTATCACCTCTACTCTGGAATATGGTCCTCGATACCCTCATCAGCTACCTTTATAATGACAGTCTTTACAGTAGCGTATGCAGAACATACTCTACGAGGAATGCAAGTAGCTCTTAAAATTATCTAGGATCTAATGATGCGAAGTGTTGCTTTTAGCGGGAGACGCCTAATTGGCTTCCACTGCTTCAAGCGACCATGGAATCCATCTCATCGAGATATAACTTCCATAAGCCATGTAAAGTAATAACGAAACAAATAGAAGAGTCGGAAGTGGCAGGTTCTAAAACAAAACAGGGTTCAGATCCTTAAACCTAAACATAAAATGGGCTGTAAACAATGGTGCCAGTGTAGTTCAAACCGAACTCACGGAGATTATCATAGCAGCACATGAAGTTACCAGAAACAGTATCACTGGAAGGAACATGCTTATTTCTACGGATAGCAGACAAGCACGCGCGAATTTACTCAGAGTTAGCATTAGAATATAACGAAGCTTTGGCCGAGGTATCCAACAACAATGTGATCTCCTTAAGATTGATCAAAGGTCACGCCATATCGAACGGTAACCATCTTGCTGATTTATTACGGTCATGATAATAGTTGTTTTTTAATAAGCTTGTCCCTGATCAGCATGACGTAATTCTTTTTTTACTACTTTTTGGGCACTATTAAAAAATGCAATGTCAATCTCAAATTAATTCCCTAATTTTTGTCAGCAATTTCAATTTCTTGTTTATTCGCAGAAAAGTTATGTATTAATGATCATATTTATTAAACATAAAACAACTAATAAAGTAAAAAATATTTATTCTACCAAATAATAGCACCGTTTTGTGTTGATGCACTTGGATATGTACAGACAATTTGTACGTATAAAAAACGAGGGTAGAGGGTAATTTTACCCGATATGCTACAGGTACGAGTAGGGTTGCCAGACGTTATGCTTTTGGCGTATTTGTCACGGTTTTTGACTTGCTTGTACGCGCAACGCTATAGTACGAAAATGCCACGCTTTTGACAAAAATGCCTTTTTTGGGGCAAATGCAACTCTTTTTATACAAATGTCACTCTTTTTAATTTAGAGCCGTAGAAGAACCGGATTGTATACAAAAATAGACAAATCTCCGGGTAAAGGACCCTCGTGTTTACGAAAAATATGAACTGAGGACTTTTTTGTTAGAAATGTCACAAAAAAATGGACCTGATTATAAAAAAATGCTTGGTATCTGAACCTAGTGCTCTGTCGTCACGGTTGTCACTTTCGGAAATCTGGCAATCCTAGGTACGAGTGACGAGCGTTTTTTTTTAATGTACTCGGGTACTGGATACTGAGTACCCAAAATGTACTTAGTATTCTGGTAGATAGATATGCCCTATGGAGTAAACGTTGTCATACCCCTTTCCACATTAAAATTGGAGATGAAAAATAAATTTACAAAGGGGTGTAAAATAGTTATTTAACAATACAATTAGAATTATTAACTTATTATTAGGTACTTACTTGGCATTTCTGGGAAATCCATAGTTTTAATCCATTTTTTAAGGGTTTCAATGTCTTCTTCTACTTCAGAATCAGTCTTTCCCCAATGTTTTCGAATCTTACACTTGTCGATATGCAGCAAAGGTTTCTTCTCCATTTTTACCGAAGCACTACAATTACTATACACACGAAAAATATTAATTAACAATATAGTATTAATAGAATTATAAAAATATAGATCTTGAGAAAAATTTAATTTAGTTACCAATTATTAAAGCAATTTTTAGTTTCTTTGAACTTATACACCTATTAATTTAAAAAAATAACAGTTAACAATCTGTGAATCTGGTAAATAATAAAGATAACAGCATAATATGCATTTCTTTTATACTAATTCGTATCAGATGATAAGGTTATTGTTTATTGCTGAGTAGGATTCATTTTATCTTTGTTTTTTTATTATTTTGCGAGCAATGTATTCAAATCTAATCATCAACCAATTTCTTTATTATTTCTTAGACATAATTGTTGATTTAATTTATAACCAAATAGTGAAAAAATAGAAAAGAATGAAACAACTAAATGCAATTGTTTGCTATTTTAGTTCTGTAAAGTTAATACCTATCTAATTTTCAGTCGAAATATTTCTGATACCGCTGAAATATAAAATATATTTATACGTTGGAAAATCTATTATTATACAGGATGAGTCGGGAGGAGCGCACCAAACTCTAGGAGTATATTATACACGTGAAAATAATGTAAAGAAACTCATATGTTCTTATCCGATTTTCATTTGTTTTCAAGTTATAGCATATTAACAAATAAACTAATTTACACATAAAAATTCTCTTAATCATAGCGTTCTTTCAATAAATGTTCAAAAATACCACCATTGACTTCTAAACATTTTCTGCTTCGTCTACGAAGAGCGTTTGTTGCTCTCCTAATTGATTTATTTCATTCTTCTTTAATATGGGCTGCAGTATTCTCAATTCGTCTAATTAGTGAATCCCGTGGGTCCACTTTTATTTTGTAGACTTCATTTTTCATCCAGCCCCATAAACAAAAATCTAATGGTGTGAGGTCTGGAGATCTTGCAGGCCAATTAATAGGACCTCTACGACCAACCCAACGCCCTGGAAAACGTTCGAACAAATGTTGCTTGACCTGACGAGCGACATGTGCAGGAGCTCCATCGTGCTGATAGTACATTCTAATATTAACAGGAACATCCTCTAGCAGGCCTTGTATTTCATTTTGTAAAAAATTGAGGTAGTTGTCTCCTGTGAGACGATTCTCCAAAATGAAAGGGCCAATTAAATAACTGTCAAGCATACCACACCACACGTTCACAGAAAACCGATGTTGAAAATTGCTTTCGACTGTTGCGTGGGGATTTTCGTCTGACCATACATGATAGTTACGAGTATTATTAATGCCATCATGGGTAAATGTAGCTTCATCCGTAAAGAGTATAATCGATACAACACGATGATTATTATTTATCCACCGAAAAAACTCCATACGGTTAGCGTAATCCTGTAGTTGTAGGTGCTGTACTCTCTGTACGTGATAAGGACATAAGCCTTGCTCGTGGAGTGTGTTTATCACTCTTTTTTGTGGAATTCCCAATTGTGGCAATTCTCCGTGAGCTAGTAGTTGCATTTTCTTCTACTAGATGCAGAATATTTTCTACTTCTACAAAACCTTGTCAAGTAGCGCGTTCAGATGTTATGAAAGCACTGGAAAGCTTACCAGTCTCGCACAATTTGTTGAAAACTCTAATAAATACGTTTTTATCAGGATGTGTTCGGTGTGGAAAACTTTAACGATATTCTTCAGCAGCAGCTGTAGCATTTCCATTACAGAAACCATAAAAAAAAAACACCATATTTGCATATTCTAAATTTGAATAAGTATCTGGCATTTTGCAACACTAACAATCACATAAATTCGAAATTAAACGTTCAGTTACTGTTCACTGTACACTGACAGTTCATCAAAACGTCAGAATTATCAAATGCCTTTGAGCCTTGAACATATGGCATACTTTGATAATGTTAAAATTCAGAAGTGGAAAGCTAGATGAACATTTTTAATTACGCCATAACTTAAAAACAAATGAAAATCGGATAAGAACATATGAGTTTTTTTACATTATTTTCACGTGTATAATATACTCCTACAGTTTGGTGCGCTCCTCTTGACTCACCCTGTATAGGTTATATTTTATATCATTAATAGGAAGAGTGGGGATGAATTAATATAATTAAGTATGTAATGATAAATTTAATGTTTATTTGAGTTTGAACCCTTATTTTTTAGAAAAATGTTATTGTAGTTCATGGTTCTACTTTTTTATTGTTTTTGGTGTGTATAAGGAATAATTCCTATAATTCGAAATTAAATAAATAAACAGACATCCTTATATTACTACCAGTGACGATGCTTAATGTGCAAAATAGACGCTTTTGCGAGGTGCGGATCGGCCCACTGAGAAACCGGGAGATTTCCCGTTGCGTCGGTCCTACAAGCGTCTGCAGGCGCCGGTCCTTGCGCCGAAAGCCGCCTGTCCTAGCGTCGACAGACGTTGGTCCCAGCGCCGACAGGCACCGGTCCTACCGACGCCGTATAAGCACCACCGCCGTTTCTGCTTTTATTTTTTTTTAACAATTTGAAGTTTCAAAAGAATTGAAAAAGTCAGAATTTGTTAACTTATTTGTTATTATTTATTAACTTAAGTATGTAAATAATAAATTAGACACATGATGAAAGCACCCATACCCAAAAAACGTAATGTTTCATGTTGCATTGTTCCGTTATAAGGATATGAGGTATCATATAAGTATCATAAGACCTAAGCTAACATACGGTGCAGTTGTCTGGGTACCGAAAACCCAAAAATTAACAACTATCCGTAAACTAGAACAAATTCAAAGAACAGCATGTCTCAACATAACAGGAGCCATGAAAACAATACCAACCAGAGCCATTCTTAGTCTCACTCCCCTTGATATTTACATTAAGAAGGTTGCTCTAAAGACAATGGCACGCCTCCGCACGGTTGGACTAGAACCTGATGTAGGATCTGGTGAGGTGAGACGTCACTTTTGGTAGGAGGCGCTCGATACGCTACCACTGCTTCAAGCGAACATGGACTCCATCTCACCGAGATATATCTTCCATAAGCCATATAAAGTTATAATAGAACAAATACAAGAGCCGGAAGTGACAGGTACGATTCATATCTACACCGACGGTTCTAAAACAAAAGGCTCAGGATGTAGAATATACTCCAGATTTTTACACCTTAACATAAAATGGGCTGTGAGCAACAGTGCCAGTGTAGTTCAAACAAAACTAACGGGAATTCTCATAGCAGCAAAAGAAATAACCAGAAACAATATCACTGGAAGGAACATGCTCATCTATACAGATAGTAGACAAGCACTACCCACCCTGAACAGACCACGAATTTACTCAGGGTTAGTACTAGAATGTCACAAAGCTTTGGCCGAAGTATCCATCAACAATGTGGTCACCATAAGATGGATCAAAGATCACGTCACATCGAAAGGTAACTAACTGTATTGCTAAGAAAGCAGTCAACCAAATACTTTTTGGACCTGGCCCTTCTATTGGCCTGACAAAATCGGTAGTGACAGACCTAATCAAAGAATATTCCCTTGTGAAATTCAAGGAAAGATAAGATGAAAGAAGAAACTGCAGAGTTGCCAGGAAGCTCTTAAGTTGTCCTGACAACACTGAAGCAAACAAATACTTGACTATGACTAGACAGAATCTGCGCCTAGTCACAGGCATTCTGACTGGTCATCGCCAAGTACGAAAGCATCTCCATATCATGGGTCTGTCAGAATCCGCACTCTGCAGAGGGTGCGAACAAGAAGATGAGACTATTGAGCATATCCTTTGCGATTGCTCGACGCTCTCATTTATTAGAAGCTTTGTGTTTGGCGAGTATCGGGTAACACCGGCCGATATAAGAGAAGCACCTCTTGGCGACGTTGTCAACTACATTAAATCTATAGGCTGGCTCACGAGCTAGGAGGTGCCTATCATCTTAGGAGGATGCACAATGTGCCTAATGAGACCTAATGAGTATCGTAGTGGTAACATACCTTCCACACGTTACAGCTACAGACAGAGAGATCAGATATCTCATTTCTTCGCGTTTATACACAGAATGATATCTGTCGTTGACTACACCTTCTTTAACAAATAATCAACACGTAATATTGACAGAATATGAGAATACATGTTGATGATTGGTTAAAAAAATGTGTAGCCCGGCGAAAGTTATCGTTCTGTGTATATCGCGTTAATCTGACTCCAACCTCTGACTCCTTTTATTATTCCAGGATTGCAGGAATAATTTAGAAGAAAAACCGGGCGACAAGAGAGTGTTGCAACATAAAATATATATTCTTTATGCACCTTCTGCTTAAATGCATTTTTTTTAATCTATAGTTTGTTACTGTGTACCTACCAAATTTAATATGTTTCGCAATTATTGACCAAATATCGAGTTTGTGTACAAAGTTAGTAGTTGTGATTGGCCAGTTCTGGACGGGAGGTAATGAGAGGTAATTAGTAATTATCCTAAGTACCCACCCCCACCCTTTGCGCAATTAGCAAGTACCTCCCAATGAGCGTAATTGTATAGTGTAATGGGTGTAATTACTTCATACATATATAGATGTAAGTATTTACTATGTATATCGGGTAGCATGTAACGAGCATAGTAAGTACCTCTTAGATAGTAATTACTATGTATAGCATATAGTGTAATGAGTTTAGTCTAAGTACATCTCAATGATTACTATTGTAGCATAGGGGAAATACGTCGGATCATACCTAAACACATCCTTGACTCTCAACCGTCATAGTTATAGTGAAGCGCTAGTCTCCAGCAGGCGCGCAAGACGTAAACATCGGTGGAAGGGATAGTTCCTCATTCTTCACAAAATTAGCGGGTGCCTCTCAGGCTTGTATATTATGAATATGAGTTGCATAGTAAGTACTTTTTAGTTACCTTATACACCATGTGTAATGAGTATCATAAGTACCTCTCATCACTCCATACACATTGAAATGTAATGAGCTACCTTGTATACATAGTAATTTCTATGCATGTCATGAAGTGTAATGAGTTTAATTTAAGTACCTCTTGGTTATTACTATTGTAGCGTATGTAGCATTTTGTAAGTACATTCTAAATAATAGACATAAATGGGGGATGAAGTCCGCACATCCTTGACTCTCGACCACCATGATTAGAGTGAGGAACTCACCGGGCGTAAGCATACACGCATGAATATCGAGGCAGGAACTTGGAAA